TAGGAGGAGGAACGGGGTGGTGGGGACCCAGGGCACTCGTGGAGTGCTCCTGGCAATGTTCTGTTTCTCGACCTGGGGGGTTGGTGACACGGGTGAACCAATTAGTGACAAGTTGACTGGGCTGTACATGGATGGTCTGTGCCTTCCCCTGTATATATGTGACCTTCACAAAGGTTACAAAGATAGGAAAATAAGTACAAATTATTTTTATAGTAATTCATTATTCTAATTGCAACCCACCGCCAAGATTGTCGTGGGTACTCAGATCCTGGAAACTCAGCAGTGCAGCAGAGAAATGTTAAGTCTGAAATGACCTTCTATTACTGAATGTGTTGTATGTTTTCAAACTGAATTTTGGAAAACATGCTATAGCATCAGACTCACATCTCCAGAAACACTGATGAAGTTCAGGCTTTTGAGCCCGAAAATCGCCCCGGCAGGTACGTCAAGGGCTCTTTCATTTCCACGGGCGCAGAGTCCCACAGAGAGCCTGGCGAAATAACCCTCTCAGCAAAGAGGTTTTTCAGAAGATGGAATTTCCCACTGTAATTATCTCAAGTGTCTCTGGGTGAGTTGAATAAATTAGACATGCACTCTGGACTGCACACCTCAAGAACTGCAAGTCATTCCCTGAACTTGAAAAAAATAAAAAAATTAAAAATGTCAAAGAAAAGCTAGAAAACTGTGGCGTTGCCGGACAATGACAGCAAACACTTAGATGTGGAGCTTGAGGGCAGGGGAGGCGTGTGTGCTGTGTTTTTTGGTAACTGTGTGGAGCAGTGGCGTGGCTCAGGGGCCTTTGGGAACGTGGCACCGGCTGTCACTGGCGAAGGCGGAAGCACCAGCTGAGGATCGGCCGGTCTCCACCGCTCTTTCTTCAGGCCGTGCCGCCGTCTGTACAGCATGGGGTCTGCTTAGCACATACAGCAGCCAACGCTGGCCAATGTCCTGGGGATACAGTGCTTAACCTGCCCTCGCACCCAACCCCCTCCAGCTGCCTCCCTGCTTCTCCTGCACACGCCCTGTGCTAGAGCCGGTCCGCACTCTGGGAGTCACAGGAGCGCGCGAGGGTCCTGAACTCACACCTCGGGATGCCCCGCGCCGTACTCGGAGAACCAGAAGGATGTGACAAACTCCTGCTCACCCCTCAAGACCCGGCTTTTCTTCCAAAGACTGTCCCGACTCCTCACCCCACCCAGGCCATGCGGGGCGCCCCCCGTGCAGGCCCTCCTCCTGGTGGCACTGACTGGATCCGCGTGACCCGTCAGCCTCCCTGTTGCACACTGAGCACCTTGAAAGCAGAGACTGTGGCTTTCGGTTCCAGATTCCCAGCATCTCTTTCCCTCCCATCCTCTCCCTCCACCACCAGTCTCTCACCCTCCCCGCACCCTGCACCCCCGTCCTTCACCCTCACCCAGTACCCCCCCTCCCTCTCTCTCTCCCTCTCTCCATCCCCCTTCCCTTCGGTGTCCTCCATGTCACTGATTTGAAAGAATACATGCACCCCTATATTCACTGCAGTGTTATTTACACTGCCAAGGCCTGGAAGCAACCCCAAGTGCCCATCTGCAGACGAGTGGATAAAAAAGCTGTGGAACATTTACACTCGGAATACTACTCGGCCATAAAAAAAAAGAAGAAGAAGGAAATCTTACCTTTGCAACAGCATTGATGACCTGGAGAGTATTATGTAAAGTAAAATAAGACAGAGAAAGATAAATACCATATGACTTCACTTATATGTAGAATCTAATGACCAAAATAAACTAACAAACAAAATAGAAACAGACTCATAGATACAGAAAACAGACTGACAGCTGTCAGGGGAGGGGAGTTGGAAGGCTGGTGAAAAAGGTAAAGGATTTAAAAAAAAAAAAAAAAAGCACCTCCTAGACAACAGGATGGTGATTAAAAGAAGAGCTCCTCCTCTCATATCACATCCCTACACGTCACCCAGGCAGAGTAACTGGAATTCAGTGGTTCCCATTTTTCAGTCAAGCACTAGTCCCAGACACAATGCTTTACTGCAGCCGGCCATGGCGTGCTCAGCTGCTGGGACCCTCCCACCCTACCGGCAGCCCCCTCCTCTGATTCTTCCCTGGACCGGTTTCCACCAGAAATCCCAAGTGCCTGGCCTAGGAGGTCCCTGAATGAATGAACCAGCCCTGGATTCCACCTGCCAACCCTGGCCAATCCAAGAGATAAAGCCCAAAACAATTAAAGAAGCTCCCTTCTGAACTCGTCTTGACTACACATCTGACCCAGGATCCGATCAAAGGGGACAAGATCATTAGGAACCAAATCCGAACAAATGGGGATGCTGACAGCAGATGTAAAAAGCAACACGGAGCCCTTCTTCTGAGTATTACATCACTTCTCACATAGCGCCTTTGGAAACGGCCTCTGATGACAGAACAGGCATCCGACGCACCACATGAAACCGAATAAAACATCAGCACTGGGCAAGCGTGGTCCATCATGCATTTTTTAAAACCACAGTGTGCAGAGAACAGAGAATTGGCTGCAATCAGGCTTTTTTTTTTCTTTAAGCTGGATGAAGCCTTCATCTTTCAACTCACCTCTGAGCTTTCAGATCCAAAAGCCAGGCAGGAGCACAGCTAAACCTGCAATGTGTGCTCCGACTCCAGTCCTTTCTGATGTGCCTGCTCGACTTGCCAGTTCTGATCTTGGATGCGTCAGAGTCAGTGCCGCCCCCTGCCTCAGTTTCCACATTTGCACCGCTGGGACAATATGCACCGCGGGTCTCAGGAGTCATGGGACACATTCAAGAACTATCCTATCAAGCACTGTATGCTCCTCAGCTCAAACACAGTCAGAGGATTCATGAACCTGCGCAAGTCATCTAAGGTTAAGTCTCATTCTTCTTGTCTGTAAAATGGGAATGAGTGATCCTGCCTCCCATGGTGACTGAGGAGTAAATGAAAACAAGTCCGTGAACTGCCTCACCCAAGGCAGTGCCTGGATTTTACCAGATGTTTCAAAAATATTAGCTCTCTGTGTTTGGAAATCAAAATAGAGAGACCCAGAACTTCCCATTCCATTGCTGCATTTCCACACAGATGCACACACTTAATGCCTTTAAGAGGCAGCCTCCACAGGTTGGAAAGCTGGGCGTTCAGTATAGACCCTGCACCTGCGGTTCCGCCTCCCATACCGTCCGCGTGGTTTCTAAAACCAGACCTCAGATGCTGCGAGTCCCATTAGTCAAAGAAGTCGTGGGAGACGTTGACAGGAGGGTTACAGAGGAGCAAAGAAGCAACAGAAAACAGCAACAAGACAGACAACTGAATAAAATTATGTAAAGAAAAAAAGCATTCAAGAAAAATAGGAGGAGGGAGGAGGGATGTGGGGAGATAATTCTCATTGTTATTGCTTCCATGAGTCAGCATTTTCTACCAACATGGCAGGTAACTGAGCTCCTCACCCCAGTTTGGTCGCACACTGGCCTGTCTTTACAGCACAGGTCAAACCATGAACGAATGGCAACAGATGATATCACAACAGATGATATCACAACAGGCCTTGGAAAGCTTGTCAGCACACACAGAAACCCATGGTGCTTGTTCCCAACAGAATGGTAGGGAGATTCCGTGACACTAGGTACACACTTACACTGAGGGTTGGAGAAAGAGATAAAGGGACCAGGGCGTGTTCCTGTCTTGATTTCGGTCCCCGAGAATCAGAGCCTGAGCTTTGGTTTGGTGGCAGGTATTTTATTGGGAAGATGACCCAAGAAAACCTGGTGAGGAGGTGGGGAGAGGGAGACAGGAAGGAAACGCTAATGTCAGGGTGCACCACTGAAGCCGCTGGAGGCCGTGGGTGCTCGATTTCCCCCCTCCACCGAGAAACGTAGAGCACCTTCCAGAAATGCCCCTGAGAGATGAGAGTGTACAGTGTCTACCCACAGGCCCTCCTCCCACTGGTGCGGGCTGTCCCTGAGGGAGTTACTCTCCGAAGTTCCTGGGCTGGAGAAAGCCCCGAGCAGAAAGCCAACTCCGGTAAAACACTGCCAGTGGCAAGCAGGTCTGAGGGTTCCTGAACTGCGGTCGGGCCGCAGCAAACACCAGAGGGGGGCCCGGAGTGCAAACACAGGAGAGCTGGGCGTTTGCTACAGCTCCAAAGGCAAACTGCAAATTAAATAACTTCAACCTTGACACCTTGTTTCCCTCCTCCTGTTACACGTTCCCCATCACCCTGGGTCCGCCAGTGTCAAACCCTGGCATGATGCTGCAAATAACACTGTAGTTAGCTGTGCCCTCCCACCCCCGCCCTATCTCCCAAGGCATCTGCCCAGTAAAGGAGTCATGTTGGACTCGGTCCTCAGGCCCCTCAGACCAGAACTCCGAGTGGGATGAACAGGAAGGACCGCAAATCCAGGCCACTCTCCCTCCAAACTCTTCCCCCTCCCAAGGACTCCTTCCCAGCGTGCAAGCTCACCTCGCCGAAAGATGGACTCGCGGACTTGGCACTTCAGGTGGGGCAGATTTACAGGCCTGGCTCAGGGCACAGTGACCCTGTGCCACTGCAGGTGGGACAGGCTTCCGTCGTGACTGAGCAGTCAGAGCAACGGCAGACACGTATGCCTGAGCCCCACCTCGGCGCCTGCCACGCAGCAGGGAGGTTGCTGGCTGCTGAAGACAGCCCGCCTTCACCTGGTGCAAAGAGCTGATCTTTTAAGCCAGTGGTTCTCAACCTTGGCTGCTCATTAGAATGACCTGGGAATCTTTTTAAAATCCTGATTTCTGGGCCTCATCCTCCGGAAATTCTGTTTCTTTGTTATGGGGTCTGGCCACAACATTAGTAACAAAGAAACAGAATTTCCGGAGGATGAGGCCCAGAAATCAGGATTTTAAAAAGATTCCCAGGTCATTCTAATGTGCAGCCAGGGCTGAGAACCACTGCCCCAGGAGTATCTGATACCCGCCAAAGTTGAAGAACCTGGGCCAGGGTGTCTCAAATTTAATGTGCATATGACTCACCTGGGGGCTTTTTCAGCTAAGGCTGGTTCAGCAGGCCTGCCGCAGGGCTCAGTCTGCATTTCTCACGGGCTCCCAGGTGATGCTGGTACAGCTGGGCCACAGGCCGACGCTGAGGGGCCAGGTCTACGACACAGAACGTAGGGCCTCGCGATGGCTGAGCCCGGTCTCCTCAGGAGGTGCTTTTCTACGTGCTCCTCTTCCTTGGTCTCTTGATGCCCCCGGTGCATGTGGCCACCAGTGACTTTCTGAGCGCAGGGACAGAAAAAGAAAGTCTTGCTAGGTCGCCGCCTTCTTTGGAAATTTAGTAACATTTTATTTAACCCAATGTATTCAAAATATCATCATTTCGACATGTAATCAATACAAAAGTTATTAATGAGGTTTGTTTACATCCATTTTATTTCCTGGTATTAAGACTTAGAAATCCAGCTCTGACCGGTTTGGCTCAGTGGATAGAGTGTCGGCCTGCGGACTCAAGGGTCCCGGGTTCGATTCCAGTCAAGGGCATGTACCTTGGTTGTGGGCACATCTCCAGTGGGGAGTGTGCAGGAGGCAGCTGATCGATGTTTCTCTCTCATCGATGTTTCTAACTCCCTATCCCTCTCCCTTCCTCTTTGTAAAAAATCAAGAAAATATATTTTTAAAAAAAGACTTAGAAATCCAGTGTGACTTTAACGGCCTGTCACATTGCAAATAGCCACGTGTGGCTGGGGGCCACTCTACTGGATGACCGCCGCCTGCTTCTACTCTGGCTTATATCGCAACCTGGAAGTCCTTTTTTTTAAATATATTTTATTGATTTTTTTATTTTTATTTTTTTTTACAGAGAGGAAGGGAGAGGGATAGAGAGTTAGAAACATCAATGAGAGAAAAACATTGATCAGCTGCCTCCTGCACACTCCCTACTGGGTATGTACCTGCTGCAACCAAGGTACATGCCCGTGACCAGAATCGAACCTGGGACCCTTGAGTCCTCAGGCCGACGCTCTATCCACTGAGCCAAACCGGTTAGGGCTCAACCTGGAAGTCCTTATCCTACAGCTGATGAGCTTCTTTTCAAGCATGCGCCTACTTCCTAAGCTAAACCTGGCATTAGAAGGCAGCACCCTCATCCAAAGAGAGGAAAAGTGCCAAGCACCACTGAAGGTTTTTTTTTCCTCTAGCTCTCCAGTAGCCACCTGGGAAATTGGGGGCGATCAATTGTCCCAATTTGCTTGATCCTGGTCGTTTTATTACTAAAAGGCCCACATCCCAGGAAATGCCTCAGTCCCAGGCAAACCAGGAGCGTTGGTTTCCCTTGAATGTCTGCTCCTGCACAGATCTCTCCCTGATCTAATGAGGACCTTTTCCATGGGTTGGGGAGCTCCTGGGTTCAGCCCAGGGAAGAACTAAACATCTGCTAAGCATCTGCACACAGGACTCACAGCACAGTCAGGCTCCAGGGCCCCTCCAGACCTCTGAGGCCCCAATATTATTAGTACAGCCTCTCTCACTCTCATCTGCTCTGGTTCTGATATTGACTCTGAACCCAAGTGTATCTCACTGGGTTTCATGGGAATTACAAGAATGTGAACGCACTTTGAAATCTGTAAGGAGTTAAGTAAATGTGTCTGCTGTTAGTATTTATTGAGCAAGTATTACCAGGTGTACCGGTTAATGATGCGGATTTTTTTCAATAGCTGGAGTTACACATATGTTGATATACATGCGATTTGATATGTATGTTATTTTGTTGTATTGACAATAAGCTTCAAAACTTCATATGTCAAATTTTCTGAAGGTGTTAACATCATAGATATTTTTATGCTTAAAAATGTCGAATTTCGTGCCCAAAAAAGAGCATTTGTGGGAAGTTTTAATTCATTACTTTATTTTGAAGAAAAACTTATTGTATACTTCGGGAAGCTTATGGTGAACATGCTCCATCTCAAGATACTTGTAAACGCTGGTTTAAACACTTTCAAAGTGGTGATTTCGATGTGAAAGACAAAAAACATCCAGATCAATTTGAACCACACTTTAATCATAAAACAACCAGAATGAGCCAGAAGACACGGCAAAGTAATTTTGCTTCATGATAACGCACCATCACACACTTCAAAAACAGTTAAAGACACGTTAAAAGATCTTGCCTGGGAAGTATGAACCCACCCGCTGTATTCACCAGACCTTGATCCTTCAGATTCCCACTTGTTCTGATTGATGGCACACACACTTTCTGAGCAGCGCTTCAAAACGTACGAAGAAGTGGAAAATTGGGTCTCTGAATGGTTTGCCTCAAAACAAGACAAGTTCTATTGGGACGGTATCCACAAATTACCTGAAAGATGGGGGAAATGTGTAGCTAGCGATGGACATTACTTTGAATGAAACACTTTTGATGTTTCTCTTGAAATTACCGTGTTTTCTTTGATTACAAAATCCACATTAACCAGTATACCTGGTATATGCCAACCCCTGGGCTAAGTAAGAGCTTTACATGCATCATAGGATTTAATCTTTACACCAACCCTGTGAGGCAGGGACTGTTACTGTCCCCATTTCACAGATGAGGAAACTAAAGTTCAGAGAGGTTCAGTCACTTGCCAATGGTCACACGGCGTATTAAGTCTCAGAGGTGTGATTTGAACCGAGAGCTCTGACTCCAAAGTCCACAAAAACAACAAAACAGAAGAGAAAGACCTGAGAGAGGGAAGACACCTAAGTGGCAAGGCGAATCTCCACAGTTCGAGAAAAATGCTCTAAACGTGACACCCTTGGCAAAAAAAAAAAAAGGCAACAAACGTTTTCAGAAGCATTTGGGACTAGAGTATATACATACTACCATTGCTGTTTTGAAACAGGTTTGGAGAAAGAATTTAAGAAACCTGTGAGACCTATTCATCCCTCTACCCCCAGCTCTTAGAAGGCGCGCTTGCTGGCCCTAGACAGTTTTGCTCAGTGGATAGAACATCGGCCTGCGGACTGAAGGGTCCCAGGTTTGATTCCTGCCAAGGACATATGCCCAGGCTGCGGGCTTGATCCCCAGTAGGGGGCGTGCAGGAGGCAGCCCATCAATGATTCTCTCTAATCATTGATGTTTCTATCTCTCTCTCCCTCTCCCTTCCTCTCTGAAATCAATAAAGATCTATTAAAAGAAGAAGGCGGTACACTTGCTGGTCCCTCTGCCTGGAACACTCTGGCCTCTGATTTTCAGGTAGATGGAGATCTCTTATCATCCAGGTCTCGGCTCAAATGCAATGTCCTCCTCAGAGGCTCCTTACTACCTTATCTAAACTTCCACTTCTCGCCTCACTGTACCCGACTGCCCTGCTTCAAGCTGGTTGTAATGCTCATCCAGGATCTGCCGTTACCTACTTACGTAGGTATCAGGTGTGTATGCTAATTTATCCCTTCCCCATAAACTCTTGGAGCAGGGACCTTGTCAGCCTTATTCATCCCCATGTCCTGGGGGGCATAGCACCGTGCCCAGCACAGGGCAGGCCCTCACACTTTTGTTGGTTGTTGAACAAACACAGTACCTGAAAAACTGTGGAATATAGCGTCAATGGAGGGGGGAAATTTCTATGTGATTTTTTCTTAAGTGACCTGCGATCAATACACAAAATCAGGCCTGGTGACAGAGTGAAGGAAAGCGACCAAGCCACAAGAGCTGCATTGAAACCGTCCCTTGCTAGGCTGAGTTCTCACTCTGCTTACAGACTGGAGTCTTTAGGTTTCAATGACCAAAAGCGTCAGTAACTCAGTTCCTTGGCTCTGCAGAAGTCAAAACCCAAGTCGGCCAAAGTCCAAACCAAAGTTAGAAACACTGTCCCTGATCCGGGTGTGTTTTGAATCATTTCCACAGACACTGGAAGAATTCCCAGCAGGGGCTTTCTAACTTCCAGCAATGATCTTAAGGTCTAGTTAGCATTTTAAATGTTACCTGTATAAATTAAAAACTGTTTACAGCTCACAACGTCATTTTTCGTGATGCATGACTTTGCCGCAGCTAGCCAAAGCTCACTTTTTGGAAAATCCCATTCTAAATGTTACCTGCTGGTTCAGGCCTGGCAAAATCGCCCTCTCGGTTCAAATATCCAGCTTCTCCTTTTCTTCTTCTTCGTGTTGGTAATCTCAGCTTCCTTCCTTGGAACAGGTCAAGTGTTGTGGGGTGTCCAACTTGGCAGGGAGGCTATGTGAAAACAGTTCTTTTGATTATGTAAGTTACTCAACACACTCTACTGCTGGTTTAAAGAAAGCAAATGGTCCTAACCAGTTTGGCTCAGTGGATAGAGCATCGGCCTGCGGACGGAAGGGTCCCAAGTTCCATTCCGGTCAAGGGCATGTACCTTGGTTGCAGGCACATCCCCAGTAGGGGGTGTGCAGGAGGAAGCTGATTGATGTTTCTCTCTCATCAATGTTTCTAACTCTCTATTCCTCTCCCTTCCTCTCTGTAAAAAATCAATAAAATATTTTTTTAAAAAAAAAAAAGGAAACAAATGGAAAAAAAAAGAAAACAATTGAAGATTTCTGAGTATAATTCTGTATCTGTCAAGCCCCACTCGTCACCATCTATCTTGGGGTACATAACACTACTTTCCCAGGGACTGAAGGAAGTCATGATATTTGGAGGTCAACTCTACTCCTGGTCATTTTTTACCAAAACCAATAATTTAAAAATAGCTCCCTTTGATGCATACTTTCTCTATATCACTAGCATTCGGCTCACTGACTTCATTTTGTTCCAGAATACAGAGGCATTTTATGCTTCTCTGATCAAAGGCAGCTGGGCTGTGAAGTTACTTGAATAGAGATTCCAAGCTTTGCTCCACTTCTTAAAGCTCTAGGACCTTAAGTCCCTCAGCCTGTCTGCCTCAGCCTTCTCGGGCCCAACCCAGCACAGGGAACAACGCAGTGTCACTGCCCTCAGTCTAGCTGAACACTCAGACTGACTGTGAGACAGCTGGAGGGTCAGTGACAAACCTCCACCTGGCACGGTGCCACGGTGACCTTCCTAAATTTCCTTCTTTTAACTCTAACGCATAGGTCAGCACGCGTTTTCTGTAAAGGGCCGTCTAGTGAAGGTTTTCATTTTGCTGGCCATATGTTCTCTGTCTCAGCCCCAGTAGCATGAACATAGCCACAGACAATACGGAAACACGTGGGCAAGGCTGTGTTCCAGTAGGACTGCTCTGGTCTCCAGCCCCGTCTCCGACCAACCTGCCCCTCCTCCCCCCACCCCCCTCCCCTCCACCCCCCACCCCCCTGCCCCACCTGCCTCAGCCATACAGGTCCTTCTGTCCATTTCTGAAACATTCCAAGCTTGTTCCCTTGGGGCCTTTCCCTTAGCTCTTTCCTTTTGTGGGCAGTTCTGTTCCCACATCAGCACATGCCTGGTTCCCTCTTGCCATCCATCTCTCAGGTTATTATCATAAACTCAGGGGGGTTTTGTGGTTTTGTTTTATTTTGTTTTGTGTGGGGGTTTTTTGTTTGTTTTTGCCTTGTCTCTAACATACTGCCTTTTTTTTTTTCAGTAAAGTTTTGTTTTGTTGGGGGTTTTTTCTCTGTCCATCACTATTTATCCCCCTTCTCCACCTCCCAAACCCCCTCCCCACCCCCCCCACCCCCGGCAACCACCACTGTTGTCCATGTCCATGACTTTTTTTCTTTCTTTTTTTCTTTTTGGTTCAATCCCTCCCCCTCTCCCCCCCCCCCCCCAAACCCCAACCCAGGCCTCCCATAGCTGGCAGTTTGCTCTCTATCTATGAGTCTCTCTATTTTGCTTGTTAGTTCATTTTGTTCATTAGATTCCACATATGAGTGAAATCATATGGTGCTTGTCTTTCTCTGACTGGCTTATTTCACTTAGCATGATGCTCTGAGAGAGGATTTTCTGACCTCCAATCGGTCAGCCACTGTTTCACATATACCCCTGCTGTATTTTCTCACGGTACTCAGCACCCTCTGACAGGTGGTACCAACAGCTCAGTTCCCACAGTCATGGGTGTGGATACAGACCACTGATATCTTCTCAATCTCATGTGTAAAGTACAGTAAACTCTTATCTATTTCTTTGGTTTTTCATTATTGTTATTAATTGTGGCAAAATTCACATAACAAAATTTATCATCTTAACCACTTTTAGTATACACTTCTCTGAGGTGAAATATATTCACATTGTTGCATTCACTTCACCACCATCCATTCACATCACCACCATCCATTTCCAGAACTCTTCATCTTGCAAAACTAAACCTCTGTACCCATTAAACAACTCCCCATTCCTCTCTCCCCCTCCCAGGTCCTGCCAATATCTTATCAATTTTTTACATTAAAGCTTACCAGGCAAGCCTGGCTGGTATTGCTCAGTGGTTGAGTGTCGATCAATGAACCAGGAGGTCACGGTTCAATTCCCAATCAGGGCACATGCCTGGGTTGTAGATTTGATCCCCAGTGGGGGGTGTGCAGGAGGCTCCCGATCAATGATTCTCTCTCATCATTGATGTTTCTATCTCTCTCTCCCTTTCCCTTCCTCTCTGAAATCAACAAATATATAAATGTATATTTTTAACTTACCAGGAAAATTAGTTTAAGGAAATCTCAATGTATTCTGAATAATTTCACAACTGAATTTCTACCTATGAACCTGTGTAGAGATTCTGGAACCACTATTGTGACCTGATATTTTCTCAGCTACTTTTCCGTTGTTCTTTTCTCTCCCTCTACAGTGTAAGTTCCATGAGACCAGGAGCCTCCACTTTTTCCTCGTGGGACGGCAAATACATAGCACAGAGCAGGAGCTCAGCAAATGCCGTTCGAATGAGTGAACAAAGGCTGGAACGACTGCCTTTGTGGGTGGGTTCCACCCTGAGCTGGGCTTGGCAAAGGCGTTGGATACATACGTGAAGAAGAGAAGGGTTTCTTTTCCGGCTGGAACCATGGAGGGTGCAGAAGAGAAGAAGAAGAAGAAGTTCCTGCGGTGCCAGAAACCCTCAAGAAGAAGCGCAGGAACTCGCGGAGCTGAAGATCAAGCGCCTGAGGAAGAAGTTTGCCCAAAAGATGCTTCGAAAGGCGAGGAGGAAGCTCATCTACGAAAAAGCCAAGCACTACCACAAGGAGCACAGGCAGATGTACCGGACGGAGATCCGAATGGCCAGGATGGCGAGAAAAGCGGGCCACTTCTACGTCCCCGCCGAGCCCAAGTGGGCATTTGTCACCAGGATCAGAGGTATCAATGGTGTGAGCCCAAAGGTCCGGAAGGTGCTGCAGCTTCTTCGCCTTCGCCAGATCTTCAACGGCACCTTCGTTAAGCTCAACGAGGCTTCCATTAACATGCTGAGGACTGTGGAGCCATACATTGCTTGGGGGTACCCAAACCTGAAGTCAGTGAATGAATTGATCTACAAGCGTGGTTATGGCAAAATCAACAAAAAACGAATTGCCCTGACAGATAACTCACTGATTGCTCGATCTCTTGGTAAATATGGCATCATCTGCATGGAAGATCTGATTCATGAGATCTACACTGTTGGAAAGCGCTTCAAAGAAGTGAACAACTTCCTGTGGCCCTTTAAGTTATCTTCTCCACGTGGTGGGATGAAGAAGAAGACCACCCATTTTGTAGAAGGTGGAGATGCTGGGAACAGGGAAGACCAGATCAATAGGCTTATTAGAAGGATGAATTAAGGTATCTACCATGCTTATTTTTGTAAATCTGGTCAGTTAATAAACTGAGTCTTCAAAATTGAAGCAAAAAAAAAAAAAAAAAAAAGAGAAGGGATTTCAGTTCGGGATAACAGCAGGAAACATAAGCTCCTGGAGGCCTGGGTAGTATCTAAACTGCATCAGCAGGGCCAAGTACCAGCAGGTAAAGGAGGAAAGAAAGGAGAGAGGAGAAGGAGGCGGCAGGCAGGTAGGAGTGCAGGTAGAAGGGAGAGTGAGAATCTGCTGGAATTTCTGCAGAGACTCTGCATTTGAGAGTCTCGGAAAGAAGGGGCTAAAGAATTAGGGAGTAAATTGTTAAAGGTCTAGGATGCGTGGTCCTATGAGCCTCTGGTTCTTGACCAGAAATGCATAATGTCAGCTGGTGCAGCCTTTTGAATATCGGGGGGTATCACATCCCTCACAAAAACTTTATTTTCAAAACTTCACCAAGAACTGGAGGCAGGAGAACCAAGATGGCAGCATAGGTTAACGCCGGAGTTTGCTGCTTTGAACAACTACTTCAAAAGTGAAACTAAAAAACGGAACGGACATCACCCAGAACCACAGGAACGCTGGCTGAGTGGAAGTCCTACAACTAGGAGGAAAGAGAAACGCATACGGACACTCAGAGGAGGCACAGTGCTGAAGTCAAATTCTGAGGTGCGGAGTGCGAGGAGCGGGCTGGCGGCGGAGGGCGCGGTTGGCGTTTTCAATCGGGAGGGAGTCGCAGAATCTGAGCTCCAGATACGGGCGAGTCTCTAGCGACCCTGACTCAAACGGGAGAAGCGGGACTGTCTGGCTTCGGTCAGAGCGAGTGCAGCTTTCTCTCTGAGCTTTGCAGCGGGTGCTGGGACTCAGAGAGGCAGAGCCCCTGGGGACAGGACTGAGAGCCGCCATAACTGCTCTCTCCGGCCCACCCTGTTGATCCTGTGCGACCCGCCCCGCCCAAGCCCTGCACACAGGCATCTGCCAGATAGCCTCAGGCAAAGGCTAGATTAGCACCTCCCTAGAGGACAGAAGTTCTCTCACTGCTGACACAGCTGATTCTCATACCCACTTGACCTGGAGGTCAAACCCTCCCTGGAATTAGCTACAACAATCAAGGTTTAACTATAAGACTGCGCACAAAGACCAGTAGGGGGTGCACCAAGGAAGCATAACAAAATGCGGAGACAAAGAAACAGGACAAAATTGTCAATGGAAGATATAGAGTTCAGAACCACACTTTTAAGGTCTCTCAAGAACTGTTTAGAAGCCGCCGATAAACTTAATGAGATCTACAAGAAAACTAATGAGACCCTCGATCTTATATTGGGGAACCAACTAGAAATTAAGCATACACGGACTGAAATAACGAATATTATACAGACTCCCGACAGCAGACCAGAGGAGCGCAAGAATCAAGTCAATGATTTGAAATGCGAGGAAGCAAAAAACACCCAACCGGAAAAGCAAAATGAAAAAAGAATCCAAAAATGCGAGGATAGTGTAAGGAGCCTCTGGGACAGCTTCAAGCGTACCAACATCAGAATTATAGGGGTGACAGAAGATGAGAGAGAGCAAGATATT